ATCAGCTGGGGCTTTATTAACATGGCATAATTTTTTAAAAATATATTTTCATTCATTTCAGAGAGGAAAGGTGAGAGAGAGAAAGAGGTAGAAACATTAGTGATGAGAGAGAATCATTGATTGGCTGCCTCCTGCATATCCCCAACTGGGGATTGAGCCTACAACCTGGGCATGTGTCCTGACCGGAAATGGAACCATGACCTGTTTTATAGGTCCAGTCTCACCCCCTGAGCCACACCATGTATCTCACTACTATTTTGGTTGATGAAGCTATTTCACCTGGTCCACCTATATGGCTTCCACAGATTGCATGGGTCACCATCGTCATGTGCTCAGGAAAGCTAACTCTGTTCTCTGTTTTGTTTGAGAAATTTGGGAGTAGCCTGCGCTTGTACGAGGTCTTATTTCCTTTCACTCTGATTAGTTGCCATATGGACCTGACTCAGTGTTGTCCCCCAGAGAACTTCATCAGTGTTCAGCGAGCAGCTTATAGAATAACTACCTTTCCCAGGGACAGGCTTTTTCTAGGTAAAAGTGAGAGATGTTTTTGAGTGGCTAAGTCACGGAATCAAGAACTGCCAGGCTCTTGTCCCTCTGGTTTGTAAAATAGTGAAGGACTTTCTAAGTCTAATTTAACTTAGGTGTTCTATTTACTGTCTGGCAGTTTATAAGCAGATTTGGGTTCTAGAAGCATCAGGAGGTGAACCAATTTTATGGGCATCTCAAACTTCCTCTGCCTATGGGAGAATGACATGGTGCAGAAATTAGCAGTTTAGGCCAGCTTTTCATTGCTGCGCTATTTTCCCAGCTCTCATATTAAGCCTGATACTATGAGTTTTAGGAGAGTTTCAGATTATCACTCCAAAGAGTGGCTAGTTGTGCCAACCTCAGTTCCATCTGGAAAAAACATGAATTATTTTCCGTTTTTTGGGGGGGGAGATCTCTTGCCCAGGTCTTAACAAGGATTATTCGCCCTAATGCCTATAATTCCATGGGTGATTATCACTGGTTGGAGGACCATAGGGATGAGGGGAGCCATGATTGCTACAGAACCACTGGCCTACATGGTGTTGGAAGAAATTGCTGCCATCGAGATGGAATGAGCTTATAAATGTGCATTCAGAACTGTTCTGAGGAAAACACTGCAGGGTGGCATGTACACAGATCTGAGAATCTCCACGCATGTTTACGAGTATTTTCTGTGGCCTCTGAGAATTTCACTTCAGAGCCATTGGTGCCTTGGCACAAAAAGAATGATAAAGGCCGAAGCCGGTTTGGCTCAGTGGATAGAGCGTCGGCTTGCGGACTGAAGGGTCCCAGGTTCGGTTCCGGTCAAGGGCATGTACCTGGGTTGCGGGCACATCCCCAGTAAGGAGTGTGCAGGAGGCAGCTGATCGATGTTTTCTCTCTCACCAATGTTTCTAACTCTCTATACCTCTCCCTTCCTCTCTGTAAAAAAACCAATAAAATATATTTAGAACTAGTAAGGGCTTATGACCAGGTTGCGGGGTCAGTCTCCAGGAGGAGCAATGTAGGAGGCAATTGATCAGGGATTCTCATCATTAATGTTTCTATTCTCTCCCTTCCTATGGAATTAATAAAAATCTAATTTGTAAAAAAGGGGGCATCTCTAAGTCAGGATGTGACTTGTGAACCAGGGAGCATTCCTGTTGGTTTGGGTGAAAGCCCTTCATTATTTGCTGTTTGCTGTCAGTGAGGGTAGCCTCTCTTTCACGGGGCATGAGAATAGTGATTGAATATCAACTTGTCAAATCTGATTTCCAAAAAAAATGGGACATGCAAATTTCTTTTACATTGAACCAATTTTAAAATGGTTTCATTAATAACTAACATTGTGAAAAGCCACAGGCAGCCTGGCTTTCGGGTTCAAAAGCTTGGAGAAAGAGCTGACATGCAAATTAAAACACAAGACAAGAAATATGAATTTGGAATTATGAGAGAAGCTAGACAAATCTGATTTCCAAAAAAAATGGGACATGCAAATTTCTTTTACATTGAACCAATTTTAAAATGGTTTCATTAATAACTAACATTGTGAAAAGCCACAGGCAGCCTGGCTTTCGGGTTCAAAAGCTTGGAGAAAGAGCTGACATGCAAATTAAAACAAAACACAAGAAATATAAATTTGGAATTATGAGAGAAGCCAGGGGAAAGCTTAGTTGTAGTAGTCAAGCCATTCCTGTCTGCTTTTAGTTACTAGAATACACAATTGCCTTTTAGGAATGCAAACAGACATATCAATGGTAATGTTTAATAAACAGTAAGATTATCAGGTTGGGGGAGTTTACTTTAAGCCATTGAGTCAGCAGTAGGTAATAAAATGCAAATATTCACCCTGTGAATATCAAAGAGTCCAAATTCAGCCTTCTGACTGGACTTCTCGCATTTATATATATTTTTTTCCCCAAAAATATATTCTATTGATCTTCCACAGAGAGGAAGGGAGAGAGATAGAGAGCCAGAAATATTGATGAGAGAGAAACACCGATCAGCTGCCTCCTGCACATCTCCGACTGGGGACGTGCCCGCAACCCAGGCACACGCCCCTGACCGGAATCGAACCCGGGACCCCCCAGTCCGCAGGCCGACGCTCCATCCACCGAGCCAAACCGGCCTCGGCTCGCATTTATATTAATTACTGTTGATCTTGGTTTTCAGCATGACATGTCAAGTACAAAATTTGAGGAACCCACATATGCATTAACGAGGATAAATGACAATAAGTCATTTTTGAATCTCTCTGCCCTTAATAGCTTTTCACGGAACCACTAATTTACATTCCATCTAAATAGATAATTGCAATTTCTGAACTTTATATAATGGGAATCTGAGGTTTGTTTGGTTTTTTTGCTCTTTACATTGCATAAATGTTTAGAGATTTATTAATGATTTATCTGTAGCTCCCCTTTTTTGTGGAAAAATGTTTTTATCTTTGAATTTAGCATGCTTTATTCATTTGCTATGCTTATTTCTAATTTCTGACTGTATTTAAACTGCTACAAACAATTTTTGTAGTACTCTTTATGAGGATATGTTTCATTTACCCTTGTCAATAGTTTTGAATTGTTGGATAGGTGAATGTTTAACTTATAGATACGTGCAAGTAATGATTGACACTGATTGGCCGCCGGGGTTCTTGAAGTTCCAGCATCTAAAAGGGTTCAGCAATCTGGAGAAGGGCTGGTGTAACTTAATAAAGAGTCCAGGGACGAAGCATAATTTTGAAAGGCATTTGGGGGTCAGAGTAGCCTAGCTAAAGAAACTAAGTTCTCCTCATCTCAGGGTTTCTTGCATGATTTTCAAACTGTCTCAAAAAAGGGATATACAACTTTATAGTAACATAGTGATTGAACATTGGCAGCATTGTTATTTTTAAAAATTATTTCTTTCAATGTGTTTTCTGTTACAGTTAAGCCCCCCTTATAAAATAAAATAAAGGCAACTGGCTAACATAGAATGAGGAAGAAGGTCACACTCC